CCAAATTTTCACAAAATCTTGGAGGCAATTACAAGTTTCGATCTTCACATATATACTACATCAAGTTTGATAGTAGCCAACAATAATCTTGAGAATTTACTAATAAATGGATTCTTTCAGACATGTGTACTTGAATTGGAATCCTTTCTTGCATCCCTAAGAGCGTCGAGGTCTTGTATTAATCTGCAAATCTCGCTGTCACCTAGAGAGGCAATTGAACTGAAGGCGTGCAGCTGGTCCAGAGTTTAACGAGACTTGGAGAGTCACGGAAACGAAAAAGGAAATATGTGAAGGAAGAAGAAAGTCAGTCATAAGGATACCGAACCGGCTAGGCTCACCTTGGCACAAGAAAAGCCCCTGGTAAAAATTGCTTTGATATCTCGTAATGAAATATTTCCACTAAGTTCGATAGGTTCGGGCTACACATGTCTACTCTTGAGGACATAGCCAACAAAACCGGTGTTGTTTTAAGGGAGAGTGATTCTCAACTTGTCTTCTTTCAAGCATTGCGTAATATCTCCGTCTCCTATTGTAGAAGTTGACATGTCCATGCTTCCACTACGTTGTCGTGTTTACATGTTGTCTCGATTTGGCTTAACGAAGCGCCTCCAAGATATGTCTTTGAAAGATCGCCGGCTGAGTCTCCTCATGGGTTTGTTCATGTGTCAGACTCGCATAGAATATTCGCAATATAATTCTTGTTGTATTTACAATTTCCACTGAATGTTACTAAACGGATATCATAATGTGATTTGTAAACTTTTCAACCTATTAATAAAACCACATGTCCAAACAAAACAAAATGTTAATACATATCATATATTAGACACATATCATGACCTAGTGAATTATAATTATTCTAGAAGTCACCTATACATTGAACTCAAACTTTATATAATAAGATAACAGATTAAAAGATTTTTTTAAATAATGTAGAAAAAGGACCACATTTCCTTTTCTTTATGTAAATGTGAATAGTTTAATATTTAGTTAATGTTATGGATATGAATTAAAAAAAAAGGTATAAAACCAAAAACTAGAATAGTAATTAAAAATCTACACAATTTGATATATCAGAATCCAAAAGAACTATTTGCAAGTAATATATTAAACATATAATATAGTATTCTCTAAAAATTCATTTATTAGTATTGAAAACAATACCAATTTTATACGACAATTATTTATTTACTTAAAGGGGTGATAGATACTAGTAAACAGAATTTAATTTTGTAAAAAAATTGGTAAGTCATTAACTCACTTGAATGAATCAAACTTAAAAAAGGTAAAAAGTACATGAAAATAGAAAGTGTGTTGTTAAAGAATTGAGATTATTTATGTAAAGATAATAAAATCATATTTGACTAGATAGATTAAATAAGTGAATAACCTTATTTAAGGAAAAATGTCGTAAAAAGATTTAATGAAACAAATCTAGAGACGTAATCATATTACTAAAAAAGAAAAGGAAAAACATTTATTATTATTTTATTTTAGAAGTTATAGTTAGACACGCGCCAAATTCGCAGCATCAACAATCAGAGAAAAGCCCTAAGGAGAGAGAAACTCTCTCATTGGA